CCTCAGCCTCCCAAGTAGCTGGGACTACAGGCATGCACCACCATGCCCGGCTAGTTTTATATATATATATATATATATATTAGTTGGCCAATTAATTTCTTTCTATTTATAGTAGAGACGGGGTCTCGCTCTTGCTCAGGCTGGTTTCGAACTCCTGATCTCGAGCAATTCGCCTGCCTCGGCCTCCCAGAGAGCTAGGATTACAGGCATGAGCCACCACGCCCAGCCTCTTTTTTTTTTGAGACAGAGTCTCACTCTGTTGCCTGGGCTAGAGTGCTGTGGCGTCAGTCTAGCTCACAGCACCCTCAAACTCCTGGGCTCAAGCAATCCTCCTGCCTCAGCCTCCCAAGTAGCTGGGACTAAAGGCATGTGCCACCAAGGCTGGCCGAAGATTTCTTAAGGTTTTTCAAGTTTATGGCCTTATTGTATATAAATAAAAATACTTTTGCTTCCTCCTTTCCAATTTGAATTTTTTTTCTTGCTTATTGCACTGGCTGGGACCTCCTGTCAATGCACTATAGAAGTGATTAGAACACAACCCTTGCCTTACTCTATCTCAGGCAGAGTGTTCAGTCCTTTACCATTAAGTACATCAGTTGTAGATTTCTAATAGTGTGCTTTACCAGGTTGAGGAGGTTTCTATTACTGGTTGCTGCAAGTTTGTGTCATAAGTGTTGAATTTTGTCAAATCCTTTTTTCCTGCATTTACTGAGATGATCACATAGTTTTTCTTCTTTATTCTGTCAAAATGATGCATCACAGTAATTTTTTTCATAATCGTGAAATTATGACTTTGTTTTTTAGAGCAGTTTTAGGTTTATAGAGAAAGTGAGCAGATAGTACAGTGGGTTCCTCTATGTACCCTCTCATCCCCCACTCCCCAGTTTCCTTAATTACTAATATCTGTATCAGTGTGATATAACTGATGAACCAATATTGATTCAGTATTCATAACTAAACTCCACCGTTTATGTTAGGTCGACTCTTTGAGCTGTATGGTTCTGTGGATTTTGATGAATGCATAATGTTATATATCTGCCGTTATAGTATCATACAGAATAGTGTCCCCTGTGCTTTACTTATTCATCCCTCTCCTTGCTCTCTCCCAACTAAAGATAATAACAATGATGATAATTTTCGAAGAGTACAGAACCAGGGATGGATAAAAAGAAAGCGAGACCTTTCCCGCACAGCAGTTGGGTAGAAATAGTGGTAACTCAACCAAATATTCAAAATGGCACATCTCCTCTTCCTTCTAATCAGCATTTCTGCCTTGGAATATGTGTTAATAAACTGTACAAAATCCTTACCCATGATATAAACAGTGTACATTACTGCTAGGTGATTCTTATTATCATCATCACATAATTAGACATAATCTCAACAATTGCCCACAGACTACATCAATAAATATTCCTTAGCAAAACACAAACTAATGACAAGAGAATCCAAGTTGGTGGTGAGGTCTATAAGGTTCAGAGGGCACTTTCCCCTTTTGGGTTAGGCCACGGTGAGATGCACAGAGGGGATCAGCAGGGGACATGGACCAGCCAGGCATTTGGATCTTCTTGAGAACGGATTCATGGCAGCTGGATCTATCTGTTTCTAAACCCAAACACTAAGTTCTTAATTTTTGTTTTGGGTTTTTCAGACTGAGAATTATCTAGTGGGTTATTTTCCAAATGAGTTATGTCACTTTCTATAATTTCTAGTTCCTGCCAACATTTTTCAATTTTATGTTTTATCTCCTTAAAGTATATTTATTTTGAAGTTCATGACTAATAATTTGAACATCTGAAGCATCTGTGGGTCTACTTCTATTTTTTATTTCTGTCCATATTCATGTCACATTAGCTGGTCATGTACTTCTTTATTTTTTACTGTGTGTTGGACATTTTATTTTTGAAACTGTGGCATCTTTAGGCCAGGCATGGTGGCTCACGCTTGTAATCCTAGCACTCTGGAGGCCAAGGTGGGAGGACTGCTTGAGCTCAGGAGTTTGAGACCAGCCTGTGAAAGAGTGAGACCCCGTCTCTGCTATAAATAGAAAGAAATTAGCCAAACAACTAAATATAGAAAAGAAATTAGCTGGGCATGGTGGCACATGCCTGTAGTCCCAGGGAGGCTGAGGCAGGAGGATCCCTTGAGCCCAGGAGTTGGAGGTTGCTGTGAGCTGATGCCATGGCACTCTAGCCCAGGCAAGAGAGTGAGACTCTGTCTCAAAAAACAAAAACTGTGGCATCTTTAAAGACTTAGAATTACAATCACTTCTGCCAGGTGTTTATGAGCACCTGCACTCTGATATCATTTTGATACAATTTTTGTGCTCAAGGTTTCCTGGATCATACAAATGACTTGGAACTGCATAGCAATCCATGTGAAGGCTGATTTATCATTGTTTCACCTTCATATTCCACTCAAAGCTGGGTCTGAATTCACTTTGCCAACTCCAATCATAAGGAACTTACCAAGGACTCCTCATGACAAGACCTGAACTCCAACCCTCCTGTCCCTGTAGGTCCCACAAAGTGGTCAGAATACATATTTATTCTGCATTTAAGCTGCTTCTTCCTGAATGGCATATATCTAAACACTAGGTTCACCTCTCTAACTTTTCACATTTTTTTGGATTTGGGACTAGCAATTCCTCACTAACTTGGTATATCTCCAGTGCCTTCAAGCATAGGTTTTTAATATTTTGCCCAGTCCTAGTTGTCATCAGTGGGAGAGGTGATGCTAATCACTGAATTTGTCATTTCTGAATGCAGAAGTCAGAACAAGAACTTTCACTCTATGAATTTCACAAATAGTTTGCCCCTTGTGGTCTTTAATACAACTGTGCATATACAGTCATCCCTCAGTATACACAGTATATCCACAGTATATCCAAATCCATGCATACTCAAGTCCCGTAGTCGGCCCTGTGGAACATTCACACATGGAAAGATGGCCCTCTGTATACGGATTCACATCCCTCAAATACTATTAATGTATTTCTGATCAGTGTTTGGTTGCAAAAATCTGCATAAAAGTGGACTGAAGCGGTTCAAACCTGTGTTGTTCAAGTGTCAACTGTATTCCCTACCCAACCCCCATTAGAATGCTAGGACTGGGCCTAATTCAGTTGTCCCCTGCCGGGAATAATTATTTGTTAAATTGAATCAATCAGTCTTCTCTGATGGTTTTTGCTTATTATTTACATCAAAATCTCATTGTTTTGAATAAATAAAATTTCATTCTTATATAATCATCATTAAAAGCACCTTTCCCTTTCCCATTTTCTTTCAACATTTATACAGTATCTACAAGGAAAGGCCTGTATCTACTAAGTGTCTTTTTTTTTTTAATTGACTCTAATGTGTCATTTATTTGGTTTTAAGATAATCTTTATGCTTTCCAGATGTGCCTTATGGCATATACATATATATATTTTTTTAACATGGTAAATTAGCGAACTAGCATTAATTTTGTTTTGAAAATTTTATGACATTTCTTAGGACCTAGCAATAAGATACTTATTAGCAAACCCAAGGCTGGGGATCACTAACTATATATACTGGCTAGAAAGTAACTAGAACATTCCTGTGTACAAAGCATTGGTGGTTTTTAAAAAACTTTTTTGTGCCTCTTTAATTTCAGTGCTTTTCCTTCACTAAGTAGCCATATGTAGAATTGCTCAGTATTCCAATGCCTTTTTCTGTGGGGAAATAAATATATTACAAGACTGACAGTCTGTTCTGAAACTTCGGAAACCAACAGCAAGGAAAGTAAGAACTAGATAAAGAGAACTCCTAGCTTCCAGTGGCAGAGACAGTATTTAAATTGCAAATTTCAGGCATTATATCCACATCAGTTGCTCAAGGAGAATCTCCTAATCCCCCAGATTTAGCCAGGATGCCACTGCCTATACTTCTGTAACATTATATCTTTCCTCTTTCTTAACAGATCTCATATTATTTGCTCAGTGCATGCCTTCCTTGCTGAGTTGAAATCTTAGTGCCAAAGACAATACTTCAATAAATATAAAGCTTTCAATAAATATAAAGCATGAAACAGCATTTTAGTCAGTTTCCATAATATGAGAGCTAAATTAGATTTTTCTTCATACCCCAGGAGAAAGTAAGCCTTGCTTAGTCTGGATTCCATACAGTCACCCAACACATCTTGGATTCTGACCATACAGTGTGTGTACATCTCAGGAACCACAGCTACAGTTGTTATCATTGGCCAAGGGCTGGTCAAATTTCTCATTCCTTTTGGTGCTAAGTGTCTCTGATACTCAATAAATGCTCACTGGTAACAAAATCAACCTTCAATTATTCAGGGGCTGGTCACTCGGATCCCTTACTTCTCATTTCCCCTGCTCCACCCCTCCAACTATTCTCTAACTTTTGGGCTTCTCACTGGTAAACATGTCATCAAAGATTGGCCAGAGCAGTGGGGGACAACTCTAAGTAGTGGACATTGTGACAGGCAAGGAGCATATAAAGCTGTCGGAAGGTTGGAGCTGTACCTAAAAGAACTTTTCCAATGACATCATCTATTCTGAGTAAGGCACAGAAAATGACAGTTTGGCTAATCAATCAGTAATCACAGCTGTCATGCTATCATTCTACGATGTTACCATTTTGTCCTTCCATCTTCTAGGGTGGTAACACCATACAGTCCCAGCTCCTCTACCCACTCTATCTGTGAGTTAGGACATGCTATTTCACCTCTCTGTGGCTCATCTCGTCATTAGCAAAATAGAAACAATAACCTGATAGGTTTGCTCTGAAGATCAGAGCATTCTTTCTGAGAATGAAATAAAGTACAGAAGTGCTTTATAAACGCAGAGTGACATTCTGATTTTATATTATTATCAACATTAATTGTTTTTTCATGGCTTGAGCTTCAAATCTCAAGGGGACAAATGTTCTACGTGGGCTATTGTGATGAGTAAAATCCAGGATTTTTGCACACCAAGCCAGTATACATGCCAATTCCTTATCAGTGCTTACCTTGGGAGGTTTCCTTAATGATGGAAAAATTTTTCAGCAGCAGAGATACAGAGGGTTGGCAAGACGGCAGCCACATCAGATGGACACAATGAAAGAGAAAAAACATAAGGTAAATTCAGCACCTTGATAACATGATCTAAAAGATACTCTTCTTCTTCATGAAGAATTCAAACACATTACTGCCTGAAAAGATAAGCTCCTACATTTGCTCAAAATACAGTAACATAATGAATTTCTTTCCTGTTTTAATAAAATAGATCCAGATAGTCATTCAGAGATATTTTTAATGATCATAAGAAATGCCAATGAAAGAGTAGCAAGATAAAGAAAGATGCTATAATCATTATTGCACGTGGTCAAATAGTTTTATCAATTTTAATATTTAAATTCTTAAATTGGTATTAAGATGTATGCATATTTTCCTTTGGTAAATACATATATAAATGGGAGTTTCTCTCACTTAATAACCATGGTTCTAGATGATAATTTTCACATATTTTAACCCTGACTAAAAATGTAAAAGCAGTATCCATCCTTCCCCCACCACTAACCACACATGCACTTTTTTTCCTGCTTTTAATAATTTTATTTTTTTTCTAATTTTGTTACTTTAGTTTCCCATAGCACACACATGCACTTTTTTTAAAAGTGCATTTTTGCATGTTAGTAACTCGGGAATCACTGAAACTGTACCTGGAGAAAACTCTGAAAAGGAAATAGTCTTTGAGGCAACAAAATATTAGGTTGACTTGCTTTGTAAGTATTCAATATTTTTTTTTTTTTTTTTGAGACAGAGTCTCGCTTTGTCGCACAGGCTAGAGTGAGTGCCGTGGCGTCAGCCTAGCTCACAGCAACCTCAAACTCCTGGGCTCGAGTGATCCTTCTGCCTCAGCCTCCCGAGTAGCTGGGACTACAGGCATGCGCCACCATGCCCGGCTAATTTTTTTTTATATATATATCAGTTGGCCAATTAATTTCTTTCTATTTATAGTAGAGACGGGGTCTCGCTCTTGCTCAGGCTGGTTTTGAACTCCTGACCTTGAGCAATCCGCCCGCCTCGGCCTCCCAAGAGCTAGGATAATATTTTTTGTATGTACAAAATTAAGAAGTTCAATTATGATGTCTAAGGTATGTGATCCTATGACAGTTCTTGGCCTTCCTGATGTAGTTATTCTTGATCAACCTCTGATATCATAAATCCATAGCTGTAAAATTACTATGAAAGAGAAATGGGTGTATTTCCCCATGGCCTTAATCCTTCATCACAGGGAATTGAATCATGAGCCTAAGAAAAGCTTTTCCAGGGCTGAGGGCGTGGGAATCAAGAGGTACAAGCAAAAACAGTCTGAGGCCTTTTCTCCATCATGGGATTCAACAGTCTTCACAGAGTTCCGAGGGCTCTGAACAAAACCCAGAGCACAGCAGCAGGGAAAGAATGTCCACGGACTCTACAATCCTACGCACAATTCTAAACTTTTGAGTGCATGGAAAGAAAAATAATCATGCTCCAACAATGATGAACCTGAAGCATCATTTTCTTGAAATTCAATGAATTAGCTGAAAGGAAATGAGCCCCATCCCTGATGTCATTACCTCAGACAGGCACAATGGGAATGCTATCTATTTTTGTCTTCAGGTTTGAGAGGAGAACTTTGTCTAGAATAACTGCTATGTCTGGCTGCTGTCAAGCAAGTCTCAACATACTTGTATGTCTGCCCTCCAAAATAAGATAAACATTTATAGATGGTATAAATAAAAATGCACGAGCGTTTTTAATTCTAAGAAAGCCATAGATTTCCATTCTGTACGTAAAACTTGAGACTTCTGCGAAGAAAATTTCCTTAAGTGGAACACTACTCTGGAAGGCATCTGTTCTAAAATAATGAATGTTTATGCACTGCCCTTTTGACTAAGCCTTCTTATTTTGCTTGACTTATTCTTTAAAAGTCATTTAGGGGGGAAATGGGCATTTATTGAAACCTTAAAATCTGTACCCCCATAATATGTCGAAATAAAAAAAAAATTTAAAAAAAAGTCATTTAAATCACTGCTTTATTTAACAAAGGAAAGAAAATAACATCACGATAAGGCAATCATATAAAACAGCATGGACCAAGTTAATAAAATAATACAGTTTTCCCATTTATGCCATGATGAACCAAGTAACCCAGTGGGGGGTGGGACACACTAACAGGAACCCCAGGGAGTTTTCTCATACGGGTCCTTTACACCATAGCCCACAGCTGTATAACAGCAATCATCACCAGCGGCAAAGATCCAGTGCTGGTTTGTAGCCAGTAGTACATGTACTTCCTCAGTTGTCAATAATAAAATTAAAATTATCTTCATTCTTCCTAAAGCACCAATCCTATTTCAGCATTTTAAGTTTTTTAAAAGTCTATCATTTTCACTTAGAAAGATATGACATTATATACCCAAAGTTAATCATCATTCAATTTAGAACAAGGATCCTTACTACAGAAGGAAAAGTGGAGAAGCCAGGTAGTGCATCACAACCGTGGTTTATTAATTGGTAAACTTCCTGGAGGTGTGAATTAGGTGACAGGCTGCTAAGTCACCCTGATTAGGAAGCAAGGTTACTGCCACAATCCCCAGAGGATGCATGTCGTCTTTGGTAGTGGTGAAGAAAAATTTTTCCAATGTAAGTAATATTGATACTATATAATCAAATATAGTATGCTATCCTCTTAAAAAAAAAAAAAAACTCGTGCTACTACAATGTAAACATGAAAGATTTATATCCATATATACATAAACTATTAAAATAACTTAATAGGAGGCCATAGGCTGAGATGGCTCCAACACCCTGGGTTTCTACCTAAACAAAACTGCTCAATTCATGAATCGCTGTCTGTTCAAATAAACTCTTTAAAATGTAATGTGCGAAAGTTTATCTGTTAACAATATGGAAAAGGATGAAATGAGAATGAATAATATAAATACCATATTCAAAATAATCCATATTAAATATAAATATTTTTTTAAATTATGGCCCTCTGTTGATTACGTCAGCGAAAGCCACGTCTCTTGGGCAGGTCCAGCCTATTGCTGAGAAAACTGCATGGCTCCATTACAGAAAGAGGCAATGTTTCTGCTAAGCAAATATCCAGCAAACGAAAAAGAATATCCCTTCAAACAGACTTAACAGACCATGACACACAAGCTTGTTTGCTGACACCTTAGAAAACAGAGTCCATCCACACTTGCCCGAAAATGTCTTTACTCCTGACCACTCTCTACTGCCCAGTCTCTCCTTCACCCTCCAAAAATCCTCATTTTCAATTATATAAACCTCTGTAAGAATTAGATTTTGGTGTGTACATTCAAAGAAATAAATTGAACACAATATGACACTTCAGAAGACAAATGGGTAATAATATTTCTAGGTCCCAGGATTTGGAGAGAAAGTAAGGAGGTGCAGTTCTATGCTAATAGTAATTCTGTTTTTGCAAAACACTGAAGCTCCTCCTCACTCCAAGGACAAGCAGGCTGAATCTTCATGGTCACCTACACCACGTATTTTCACCACACAACTCATGCAATTTACATGCTTTTGTCCCACTTTGTCTCCTCACTATGCCTGATCACATCTGCCCACTCTTTAAGGCCTAGTTCAAAGCTCACCTCTCTCCCTTCCTCACCAACTTTTAAGACCAACTTTGTCTTCACTTCCTCTAATACCCCAGGATTCCTATGGTCAACAAAACAGCTTGGCACTTACTGGCCAAGAACATAAAAGTTCAATAGCCTCCAGTAACTCTGTCTGTATTTGAGTCTCAGGTAGCTTTAAGATTTAAACCTCTTGAAAACAGAGGCTACACGACATGCTACTTTCATAATCCCTGTCCCCAATCCCCACTACTCATGTAGGGCTCAGTATATTATAAGAACTCAGATATAATTTTTTACATTAGTAAGTTAAACATAATCCAGATATGAGGATTTGCTTAAATCACCACCACAATCCCACAATTTGGGGGAAAGAGTGCCTAAATTTAATAGCAGGGATGACCTCAGGGATTGTCAGAAAACTCAAAATATTTCTGATGACTCATTTAAAAATAATTATTTCTCTAGACCAGCATTTCTCAGAAGAGTGGCAATTCAATGGGATGTTAACAAAGGTCAAACCCTAAAAAGCTTCTGAGGTCACCTAAATTGAGAAATGCTGCCAAATGCAGTTAAACATTTGTTTCTTTATGGCCTCTGAAAAGTACTGCCATAGAATTCTTAATTCATGACAGAATTCTTTGAAAGGAAAATGATGGAACATATTTGGGGAAAAACTTATCACTGATTTTAATAAACCACACCAAAAAAAGGTTTTTTCAAGGATGCAGTGGATTTTAACAATTCTAGCAGTTCAATAATCTCAGGTACTAACATGGATAATATGGCTATAACCTGAGATGAATTTTAAAAGGTTGCGATAAAAAATATGCATAAGTATAAAAGAAAAAGAAGTCTGAAGTAACTTTTGAAATATATATCTGTGTAAGTGCTGTAAGAGGTACAAACAAAATGGCACAAGAACAAGCACTGGTGGTTCAGTGGTAGAATTCTCACCTGCCAAAATGGCACAAGAGCTCACATAAGAGAGAGAGATCCAATCTGAATGTAGGCATAGGGACATGGTGGTTTGAGAGGAGAGAGGATGTGGAAAGGGTCTTTGAGAACAGGGGAGGACCTAACCGACAGAGGAGGGGACCATTTCTAACAGTGGTGACAGTGTTAGCAAAATGCTTAAATGAAAATATTTGTAGTGTCTTGGCAAGTGTACAGTTAGATGAAACTACAGATTCTATAGGAGGAGACACTAGAAAATTGGAGTGTAAAGATAAGCTGGACATAGCTATACTGGGGCAGGTCTTGAAATGAGGAATCAGTACTTAATTTAGTAGGTAGTAGAGACCTGGGAAGTTTAACAAAAAAAAAAAGAAATAAAGAAAGCAGGATAAGTAGTCTATTACAACAACTACAAAAATAGTTCAA